TTCTTTATTTCCTGTCTCCTTAAGTGTTATCAATAATAAAGCTTCTGTTAAACAGTACCAGCACTGTAGAAAGATTTAAGGGTAGGACTCCAAACTGACAGTGGATTTTAATCTACAAGGAAGTCCATGTACTAGTTAAAATACTGGATGTACTGTGAGATAAATTCAGACATCCTGCCAGTCACCAATTCCTCTACCTTCCAGATCCAGAGACATGGATGCCTAAGTGACCATTTTAGACTTTGTTTAGACTTTAGACTCCCCATTATGGCTGGGGAGCATCCCGAGGCTTGTAATGTGCCTCCATCCTTCATTATCCTGGATTGTGGAAAATATTGCTCCAGTAGAGCTCCAGCTCTCTGTGTTGTCAGGCAGCCTTCTTCATCACACAGAGAAGTGATACTACTTCTTCAAGCAGAGTGGTAGAAGAACAACATAACAAGACATTTCTGAACATACACATACAAATAAACCCTTGCAAGCAAAAAGATCTTTTTTGAATTGGACATTCTGGATTGATGCTTTCCAATCCTTTCATTTGCACCTGCCTCATTTGAATGAAGAATGTGGTACCTGCTGAAAGTGAAGGTATGTTGATCTCATGTTCTGTATCAACAACAGCTGGTACCTGCCAGATACTCTTGGTAAGTCCTAAGGGGCTGCATTAATTAGGTGAGCTATTCTTTGGACATGGAAGTATGCAAAATGTCCAACAGCTAATGAGGTATAACCTGCACTATTCTGGTACAAATCCACACGGCTTCTCTCTTCAACTGATTTTGAAAGCTTTTAGACATTGAAGGGGACAAATTCAAAAGAATTAGGATCTTACACAGAACTGCAGAGCAAATACTATCTGGTCCTGAATGTTCGTACTTTAGGATTTTGCCCTCAGCGGTTCCAGTTTTCTAATGCAATGAAGCTTGAGGCTGCAATATCTACCATCATAGCCTAGCTCTCTTACATGAAATGGTACATTGAGAGACAAGCTTCAGAGCGCCAATAAGTCTGTGTAAAGAAACTACAAAGAAAAGCTGTAAGGGGGCAAAGAGGAATGCTAAATGCTATATTACATATATATAAAATTTAAGACTTTCCAAACCCATGCAGTTCTCAAAGACTAAGCGGCTGATCTTTCACCACTTCTCTGGAAATAAGACGATGCATAACGTAATTCTATTTCCAAGGGAAAAGCAGCAAATGCTGGTAGGAGGTTGAAGTCCTACAGCTGCATTTCCCCTCATTTCTCTCAGTAATTGTTACAGAGACCACAGGTCTACCCAGGAGTATAATGTGAAGCAAATCTAATAGCAAAAGAATCTCTAGGTCTTCCATTGCCTGTAGGTACAATAAAATGGGATTATGAATTTCTGTGTTCAAGTACATTAGTCAAAATACTCAATATTCTCAGTCATGCCAAAGAAGCAGCAGTAGCCAAGGTCAATATATATGTAAAACAGGTGATTCAGCAACTATGATTTCATTATTAAGCAGTGACAAAATCCAAGGAGTCCACCTCTACCTAGGAATTTTTAGTATGATGTCCTAATAGGACCATTTCCTGCAAAAGGGGCAGGTGCAGTTTAGGTATTCTGCTAAAATAAAGTTTTCAAGGAAATACACCTGTGTTTCTGTGATCTTAACAGAGGTGTTTCCACCTGAATCTTTAAAACTGGAGCCTTTGCTGAAGGAAACAAGTTTCTGACTAACATTGATCACAGAATACTATTAGCACATGTCCAGGGGACACAGACATACCCAGAATTGAGGCAGAGCATACAGAACAATCAAAAAAGAAAATACTTGAACCCACACTTCCTTGGCTTTTAAAGGTTTTCTCCACTGAGAGACGTTTCTTCAAGGTCGACTACTTTGAAGTAGTCCTCTTAGAAAGCAAAATGGACAAGCCCTTGAAGAACATCTCCTAATCTCCATGAGGTTTAAATTCTTTGTTTCCCTGAGAAAGAAATCAAGGCAGGTGTAATTCAGCACTGCTCCATCTACAGTTCTGCAAGCTGCAGCACAAAGCTCATACAGCTGCAGGTGAGAAGTGGAGGACCAAAATCTGAAATCTGAGATTAGTATAGCTTGTAAACTGCTCCCTTGTTACAGTGAGTGTCTGAAAGACCATCCACCAACAGCTCAATCTAATCACCTCTAACTAGGGGATACTGAAGAAGTGACAAAAGAAATCTATTTTCTTATGTCTTTAAACTCAGTAGAGGAAGAGGTTTCTTTCTCACAGGGGAAAGATCTGACAGCAGAGAAACCAATTGCTCTTGTGCTACTGTGCTCTGCTACTGCAAGTTTAACTTTCCATACTGCAATGGATTTTAGGCTGTCTTTTCATATCTTTTTCAGGTTTTATATTCTGTCTAAGACACAATGTCACAGGCTTCAATCTAATAAAAACTGATGTAGTCAGACTAATTAAACATCTAACCTTCCTCCCTATCTCAAGTTGCTATATATTCCAAAATTTGGAGACGCAATCAATCAAATTGAAAGTGTTCCACTGTTAGTGACTAGGGTTATCAGCAACGGAGATCGTTTCCTGGCATCTGTGATTTAATTCTAATTACTTGTTATCCTCTGTGTATGTTTAATAAAGAGCTGCTGGTGCTTTGTAGAAAAGGTCAAAACATTCTAATAATTGCCACTCCTGCATACATGTAGCAATCATCATATTTCTTCTTCCTTGGCTTTTCATTTGTCTAGAAATTGCTGCTTAGTTGTTGCTTTTTTGCACACATCTCAACAGAGTCACTTTGTATCACGTATATCTCTTGAGATAGCATGTGCCAAAGAACTATCTTCAACCCACGAGACAAATGTTATATTGACACTGAAGATATAACTTGCGGTATAGAGACTATTTCCATTAATGCCTGGTTAGAGTATTACCTGGGCTGCAAGTGACAGAAGGGCAACGTTACAATCAGAGGGATCACAACTTCTTCTTTGCACCTCCTTGTCCTAACACCTGGCCAGCTAACACTGACATTTAGTTAGTTCTTGACAAAGAAAGCTTGACTTATGAAAGCAGTGGCTGACTCAAATTGCTGATTCCTCCTGGGAATACAGGCTTTCGGCTGTGGTGAAAATGTGTTGAAATAAAGTATTGATGATGGGGATACCGAAAAGGTCATTCACGCTCCTGGAGAACTGTCTGTGTGTCTGCCTTAGTGAAATCAATTCAATTGCTTCCCTTTGGGACCAATGCAGCCCACCAATATGAGTTTAAACAGCAAGGTAGGAAAGCTTACACTGTGTGAGCACTGAATATTTCAGCACTCAGAGACAGAAGGTTCTCCCTTCTCCTAATTTTGCCCCAAGTGGTCCATGGCAAAACAGACTGGTTTCTTCTCGTATTTAAGAGCAGCAGCATGCAGCATCTTAAGAGCTGAGTAATGTTCCATACTGAAAGATCTGCATCTGAAAACAACTGTGTTCTCACTAACCTGCTGTTCTCTCTGTCATTCATAAACAAATAAAACCTACCCATCTCCCTGTGCCTCCTGTCACTCCCTCATCCCCTGCACCTTGTCCCAGCCCTAAGTCCACTGAGCTTCTCTGCTTGTAAGGCTCTTCTTCAAATTACAACTTTCTACAAGCAGTTAGGCTGTGCACAGGAGAAGCACCTCAGTATTAACCCAGGTGTGGGTAAGGGTGTCAGGGCTGCATGATCATACACTGAAATGGGAAATATTTTCATCACAGGCTACTTCAGTGTACAAGGAATGAAGTGGAGGAACTGAGGTCTGGATTGAGGCCCATTTCTACATATAAAGAATCTGACATAAACAGATTACTGTGGAACGACAGATTAGAGTGCACGCTATCAACCCATGGGAAATCACTTATGAAAGGCCTATGCACAGAAGCAGATGTAGGGCCAGAGAAACTGCATTTTAAGCACCATGCCTGACTTCTCGTATTAGCTTAGCAAATCATACAAATGGCCACTAATGCTCCACCTATATGTTAGGAATAGTCATACTTTATTTTCTTTTACCCTTTGTTTATGATGCTTATTCAGACTTTGATTGCTTTGGGTGATGTTTTAACTTTCACTGATATTGTCCCACACAATACTTGACCAGTACAGTCAGAGACACTAGACATTACTGTATGCGAGTCACAACACTACCCTACCTTTTTCAGATACTAACCTTCACAGGATTCTCCACTTGGTGAAAACATCCCATTGTCATGGTAGCCATCCCTGCATTCACAGTGGTACCAACCAGGCAGGTTAATGCAGTTAGCACGGCTGTCACACTGAACAAAGCCATCTGAGCATTCATCAATGTCTGTTTAGCATGAAAAACAAAAAAAAGAAGGAGAAAATTCACACAGAAAATGGCTATATTCATCTGATGGAAGAACAAAGTTTTTGGTATTTCTGGATTTCACAGAAGTATTTTGATCACCAACACTTGATTTTCTAGAATTATTTATTCAGAGGCAAAGTTTTGAATCATCGCCATAAAATGACTTTTGCGAATGGTGTTGGCCCTGTTGACAGTGAATGTTGTGCTAATCCTAGTTTACACATTAGCAACTCATTTTGTCATAACAAATGATAGGTAATCTGACATCTGTGTAAGTTGCCTACAGTATGGAGAAAGAAATTGGATCCCAGTTCAAAAAAAGAGATGTTAACTCTTTGATGAGTGCAGGCTGCCTGATAAACAAAGATTAAAAAACATTAAATTGTCATCCTGGTCATTGCTTCTGCTCTTGATGACACTGATTTTAGGTTAGTAGGGCTTCCCTACCTTGCGGAGTTCTTGTTGACTTACACCAGCACCTCTGCTTCCCAGCATATCTGACTGCAGTTTTCTCTCTCATCATCAAAAAGAGCAGCTGGGATTCCAAACAAATGCTCAGAACCTGAAGATGAAATACAACACATTCTCCTCCTTCTGATAATTCCTCTGGGATATGTGTTTCTTAAAAGAAGAACTTCCACTGACTAAACTTTACAGTAACAACTTTCCACCACAGAATGGATTTCTGGATGCATTCATTAGATCCAAAATCCACCAAGGTGTGTCCTGCAGACATTTGAACTCATGGACTCAGAGAGATGCAGAGAAGTTTGTGACATGTTCATTTCCAGTGATTTTAGTTATGCAGTAAGCCATATTAAGGAACAGGTCCCAGAATATGAGTGTTGTTAACAGTTAGGGAATACCAGGAGTACAGAGTTAAACAGGGATAAAATGAGTCCTTTCTTATCATATGTATCACATTAGCATTGTGTTTTATACCAGAGGTAGCATATGTATTGGAGTAGCAAGGTGACCTAGAAAAAAAAACTAAGAACTAAAAACAAATTAGGGCTCAAACTCTTAAAAGTACCTCAAAAGTTGATCTAGTGTACTCTGGGATGCAGCTATGAAGAAGAGGTGTGATGTGACAACTAAGATATATGTAAAATATGTCAAAACTCTGCTCACAGTCCCTGCTAGCTCCCATTTATGTCATCTGTTTTTTTCACAGGAGAAAGTGTAAACTGGCTAAGAAAATCAATTGTGAGCTGCAGTAAGGGCACAAATAGCTTTTCTGAGAATACTAATGTGTGCATAGATAAAGGTGTATTCAAATATACTCACTGTAGTCTCCTATAAAACCTATTCAAACACAAACTTTAAAAAAACTAAGGCTTCCTTATCCAGCAGAAACACTTTGTTCCACATTTGGAATAAAGAAAATTATTAGTCACATGAAGGACTCCTGCATACGCTTTAAGGTATTGCTCAATCATCCACATTTGCTTTAGGGTTGCATGTTTCTTATACACTTCAGGAGGTAGGTGGGATATGCTCTTGGTATTTTATTTGCATGTCAAATAATATTTCTTTGGAATCACCATGCAACCATATGATGAGTGTATTGGTTTTTAAAAGCTTTACAGTTACTTGATGACATTTCATTAGAAATTTTCATTATTATGTATTAATCTGATTTCTTATTGACAGTCTCTCTGACCAGCCATGCCTGGTGTACATTACCAGTATTTATGATGATGAAAATTTCCAGTACTCCTGCTGGAATATTGCACCAAGCATACATTTTGCTGCTTTGTGTACCATAAATTAAGTCATATAAGTCTCTATTGGTTTAAAACACAGCATTTTCAACTCCACTATAAATTCTAAGATAATAATCTCAGCAGTCCTGCTGCAGAACTGAGAAATGCCAAACCTTTACAACCTTCCGCTGTTCAGTGTGTGTCTCTCTAAATCAGTATAAACTCTGGCCTTTTTCTTGTGAGCAGCCAGGAGCCAGCGGGACCTCAGAGGTGTTTGAGAGATCAGAGGAAGATCAATGAAAATTATGTTACTGTAGTGAGAAAAGGTTGGTTTGCAGTCTGTGCCTTATCTACTGTTATTCACTCATATACCCGCAGATTACTTAAGAAAAGGGAAAGGAAAAGAAGAAAGGACTACAATCTAGAAGTTCCCTTACCACTGGGGAACACACCATCTGGGAGACACCTTACTTGGCAAAGCAGAATCTAAATTACCATGCTAAATACTTAGGATCACCTGATCAGTACAAGATAACTTGTTGGAGTTGGCCAAAGCTACAAGTCCCAGAGAATCAATGAAGCGTGCAACCTCAGAGGCTGGAAGAGAAGAGCTGCTGTTCAGACTCCGTATGAGTTTTCATACTTGCTGCTTAAAACATCCATGAAGAGACTCATGCCATGTACTTCTTCTTTGGGAAAATGGAATATATTTATTAGTGGTGGAGAAAAGAGTGTTATTTAGGTCTAAGTAACAGATATGAATTCCTTTCTTCAGAACAATTTATTTGTAAATGTGTAAGCTTTATAATTATAAGCACAGTAATGCAGGCACAGGTTGGACGCATTCTGATGAACTCACGGATCATTCAGGAAAAACAAGCCTTGAATGTCACGTCAGTAGTGGTAAACTGACAACAAAAGCAGCTTTTTGGTATTTATTTGCAAACTAGCTGACAAACCTGTATCACAAGAAATATTTATTGGGATAAAATGCTTTTACAGATGCCAATAAACAAAGAAATACATTCTTCTGTTTTTGTTACAGCTGCATGCAAAATTTAGTGGAGTTATGAGAGAAAACCTATCATTAAAAGTCTGGATGGTAGCATGCTGCTGGTCTTTAAGAAATGTCCTTTTCTTGACAGCTTGTTTGCCAGAAACCGTGGCATTGGAAGACCATTCCTGCATGGATACTGAATAACTCATTACTCCTTGCATGATTTTGCAGCAAACAAAAGAAATCCAAAACAGTTCTCCTCACTACTAAGTTTTTAGGCAAACGGTATTTTACAGCATGTGCCAACAGGTTTCAGAATATAGATGTTCCTTATGCACAGAATTTTGTTCTAATTCCCCCAGCTAATGCTGATCATTAATTCTAGCAGAGACTTGTTCTGCAATGGGACAAAATACAACTGTCGCAACTCTGTTAAACAAGAACATGCAGCAGAAGTGTGTTTTGCCGAGCCAAAGTACTGATTTCATGGAAAATTTTCTTGACATTTAGATAAAAGGATTTCTATTTTCGAATGGGCATAGCATGGCTCAGGAAATGCTGCAAAAGTATCTACAACTGAAATGATCTTATTAGTATGGAAAAAGCAGCCAGAAATAATTTTTCTCTGTCCTATGGTGAAACATTCTCCGATGAATCATCTTGCAGCTGCTCAGTCAGAGGTGTGAGCTGACAAGAGAAGAAAAACTGATTGAAGTTTTGCTTGGCCAGTGGCTATGGTGTATCAGTGGGCTCTATGGAACATTAACAGCACTAATGAAGTCCTGTTTGATGCTGTAGTAGAAAGGCACGAAAAATGAAATACTACTTTACAGAAGGAAGTTACTGAAAGGCTTTACAATTTCACTTATGAAAAAAATATTAAAGTGTTTAAGTAAAAGGAAAGGACGGATTTTTTTTTTCAATAGTTGGTGATGACATCTTTAAGCAAATTGACCAAACAGACATCTTATTCAGAGTATGCAAGTTCCGCTCTTTAGCTGGCTATAAGAAGCTGTGGAAAAGTAGGGGGCAGAAGAAGAGAGGAAAAAAAAAGAAAAAGCAAAAAAAAAAAGCAAAAAAAAAAAAGCATCCCCATCCAGGAAGGAAAAGAGATTCTTGTATGTGTGACAGAGCAGTCTCATCCTGGCCCAGAACTCCCATTGACTATCACGGAGGTGGCATTTTCTCTATTTTTCCCTTTCCTTTTAAAATAGAGAGCACATTTGCACATACCAAATCTGCCACCCCACTGATATGAGTGGCAAGGTTTGGAACAGAAAGTAATACCCAGAGAGTCTCTGGAAGTAACCTTCACCCCAAGCTGGACAGCAGCTACACAGCTGTACCACAGCCCTTCAGCAGCACCTGCACTGGCTGTACTTCACCCTATGGCATTGGCATGCCAGAAGATTTGGGATTTTGTGTCTTGAAACACACTGGCTGGAGAACACACACACCCCTGTGAGACTGATGAGTCCACCAGGAACATGGGTACTCCTTCTACCCTATGTAACTCATGGACGCATTGATGGCAATACTTTACATACCCCGTTGCCACAAAACAAGGCAACTGATTATTACACACTTACACTGCACGTGATTGGGTTTTCAAATATTCAGGTTTTCTCCTGCACTTTTTTCTTAAACTGAAATCAGTCAGCCTGGTCATTTCCATATTTTGTTACCCATTTTTCAACTGGATTTTTTTTCTGACTGGAGCCCCACTCTAATAAAGTAGACACACAGTTACAGGCATTTTGAAAGCAAGTGCTGTATACACCTTGCTTCCCCTGACATGAAAAAAACCTTGCTCTTCCAAATCACCTTCTTTATACTTCAGAATCACTCATTTCCTGAACTGTGGCAACAGTTTCAGCTATTATACCCCTTGCTCTTGGGAAGGCTGAGAAAACTCTGCTCCCTGAAGAGTAAAATGAGATCATTAGCAAATTATCTGCTGGTACAGTAAGTAAAAAAAGCAAACTAGCTGTCTGATTAATATTATTAGAGAACTTCTGTATAATAAGAGCTTTTGAAGATTGAAAGTGGTATAAAATTGCCAATTTGAAAGATAGCAGTGTTCTTTCATCCAGCAATAGGACCAAGCTCTCTAATGTGGTCAAGCTGCACTCAACAAAGAACCATGATGTGGGGGAAGAGGAGGAGGGTTTATACCATTTTATTTTACTCACTTCAAGACTGAAATATTAATAATCAAATCCTCCTCTCAGAAAAGCCTGTATGCCACCATCAAACACAAAGTTACAGAGCTGCAG